CGGCAAATACACAATCTGCAATTTTGGTCCCAACTTCGAAGCCACTTCCCCTTTCACTTCTCCTGTCTGCGAGTGCACGTAACACAACCGACCGGTTCACACGAATTCTACCTTTTTCGAAGCGACAATGAATTACTACGAAAAATCTAGAGGTCCTCCCACACGTCTCCCCTGTTCTATTTGCTTTAACTTCAGAGGGGGTAGTCGTTGCAAATGAAGGGCAAACAGCTGCCCATGCTCTTTTTCCGCTGGCCCGGTAAAAGGTGATCCCTTTCTTCACCTGCATTACAGTGACATAACTTGTGGTTGACTATGCCTGGAAAAAACTAGACTCATATCTGCTCTCTGAGCACCCACATTACCAGACAAGCACCTCCACATTACCAAACAAGAATGACACTTTGGCTGAGCTAGAAGTTGGTTTCCCCATCGCGATCTCCATCAGTGAGTCCTTTCTTTGCCCTCCACCACGCTGTCTTCCTCGTGCTCAATAATTAGTTGTGGTATATTGCCTCCCGTTATATATAAGCGGAACTGTTTATCACCCTATTTTCCTCCCTAGATAGGAAACGTTCAGGATCGCAAGAGTCGAAGTACTTTGATAAGTATGAAACTACCAGCTTTGGACAGAACATGGTCCTTATATTGTTGAAGTAAGATAACTGCTATTTAGCGCCGCAATCTGCAGTTGATGCCCTTCGAAATTTACCCCAAGAATGCTGGCATATGGGCAAAGCCGGGCCCAGGGCTCGAAATCGCATATCCCGCTCACCGGGCGGTTGCGTTATCCGTTACCCAGCCCGCGGGCCACTCTTGTCCTTTAAGCTCAATGGCATTTTGTGCCGCCTCACAGCACTCATACGTGCATCGTAATCAGCCGGTTAGCATTTATTTCAGTATTCTTGCAATAACTTTTGAAGTGCGAATTGGGCGTTGAACAGCGATTACCATACTATCAAATTGGAAAGAAAGTCCTGCGACACTTTGACCAAAATTATGGCTCATTTTTGAGAAAACGTTGAATCTCGGAGTTTCGTCTCTCTGAACTATGAAATACGGATCAAAAGAGATGGCAGGTAGGGCCAACTGGCAAATAAGCTGACCAAGGTCGCATCCTCTAATCGAGATCTATAATCTTTTGGCGTAAACTGATCGTCTCGTGCGACCTACCCATAGTCAAGGAAAAGATAGAAAACGAGTGTCTCAAAAAGAGACCAATTGTGACGCCACCCTTGTTTTGAAGTTAATTAGAGTGGAATGTGGCCGTCGCAGCTGTGCCAGTGTCCATCGGCATCGCTTTGAACTCCCACCAATAACATGGTGAAATTTTATTCCGTGCACATCTGTTTTTGGCTGATTAGGCAATATTTCTGTTCGAGATCCTGTGAGGGGTGTGTGCATGATTTACGCGAGGACTCCAACTTTCGCACCCAACCACAGTGTCTCACAAAAGTTCTCCCAGCGTGTGCAAATAAGAAAAAACTTAGTCACCGTTCGGTGCGCCTATCAGACTGGTGCACTTCATGTGATCCTTCACAGGAAATTTTCCCTATAACCGGGATAGCTGAGAAACATGATAGTTGTCCTTTAGGTGCAGCCTAAAGATGTTGCCAGCTTACTGGTGGTTACGTTCGGCTGCGCCTCCGAGGGGTTGAGTAAACGGCGGTTATTCTGTGCTGATGGCACCTACACGGTTCTACCTCCGAATTAAACAACTCGCAAGCACTGATACAAAGGGACACCGTGACATGACAAGCGACATCCTTTCTGAAGACAACGCAGGTGTTAGCTCCCTTGACTACGGCGAAGTGACCTTACAGAACGCCTAATATGAATCGGTTGAGAAGTACCTTGACCTTTAGGGGACATTCAAGTTTCGAAAGCCCCCACAAAGTCACAATATACTCGTCTGCAAAACCTCAACAATTCTCCCCACTGACCAGGGGTGAGAACATCAAAAATTATCGATCTCTCCCTAAAACACCTAATCAGATGTCACAGAACTTTCTTTCCAACCTGACACACCAACCTTCAGCCTTGCTGTTCCCTGCCTGTGTCGGCGAACCAGCTCATCACGTTAAACGTGTAAGGCTGCTTATGGCACGAAATGCCATCAAGCTGGAAGGGTGAGAGTGGCCCCTATAGCATAATGGATCACGTAACCGTTCGGTGAGCTGGAGATGCGGGTTCGAGTCTCGACCTGGCTACGGCTTTTGCCCATATCGCACAAGGAAGCTCGTTAGGTCATGATGCGTTTTTGGAAACGGTCTGTTCCATGATATAGGGATCATGCATGGACCAGACAGATGAAGTTTATTTTTGCTGAACGTTGTCGGGAATTTCGGAAAAGGAGTGAAAACATTCGACAAGAAAGGGCTGTCTCAACCACCTCATTCAGATCCGCTCTAGCTGTAGCGTTGAGGAGGTGTTGTTTATGAGCTGTTCTTTAAGTAGACATGGAAAGCAACGCATATTAATTTCGAGATACATGTACTCTACCTGTTCAACACCTGTTCGTTCTTCGATATACTCGTAAGCGAAATAACGGATATGGTCACGATTATTTTGAAAAATGGTTGCGAAGAAGATCTTATTATTAGGTTGTTCGGGAAGTTCTCAGCGTTTTGTGCTACTATTTTTTATACTGTACTGTACTTGTATTTTTTATTGCTGATTAAAAACTCATTCTCCCTTGCGCCTCAGTAGTACACCCTGGAGAGAATTTTTTGGGCTATCTGATTGGATAATTGCCGTTTCACCACTGCTTGATTGACCCCCTTTTTTCAAGAGCTTTTGAAGCATGTCAAAAGAGCAACTTCGGAAGGCACTTGTTCTTCAACTACAAATACGGTCAACAGGCAGTCAAGACAGCTCGACAAATTAACCAGGTGTGGGGGCCCAATAGTGTTGGAGAAAGCACCGTGCGACAATGGTTTGACAAATTTCGTTCTAAAAATTTCAGCCTTGAAGGTGACCATGTAGCGATCGACCTAAAGCAATACATGACGACGATTTCAAGGCGTTTGTGGAGGCTGACCCAAACAGATTCGAGAGATTGCAGAAAAGCTAGGCGTTGGCAAATCCACTGTTGCTGATGGTCTGAAACGCATTGGGAAGGTGAAAAACTCGACAAGTGGGTGCCCCACAATTTGACCGGCAGAAATTCGCATGTCTCCAGGTTTCTTCTTCACTGCACAGATACGATCCGTTTTAGACCGAATTGTCTCCTGTGGTGAAAAAAGGACCATGTATGATAACAGGAGACGTTCCGTACAGTGGTTGGATGCCGACGAACCACCGAGGCTATTTCCGAAGCCGAATCCTCACAAAAAAAAGATTGTGAACACAGTGTGGTGGTCATCGGCTGGTGGGATCCACTATAACTTTTTGTCACCAGACCAAACAATCACAGCAGTGTCCTACTGTGAAGAAATCGACGAATTGTACCAAAAATTGCGTCAGCTGCAGCCAGCACGTGTCGACAGAAAGGGTCCGATTTTTTTGCATGACAACGCCCGCCCACACGTTTCACAAATCACTATCCATAAATTGAACGAATTGGAGGTTGAAGTTCTACCTCATCCGCCATATTCTCCAGACCTTTCATCAACCGACTATCACCCTTTCAACCAAACTTCAAACTTCCTCACTGGAAAATACTTCATCAATCAGGATCAGGCAAAAAAAGCCTTCCTGGATTTCGTGGATTCTCGACCACCCAGTTTTTTTTGATGGGATTTGTCGAATGGTGTCACATTGGCAAAAGTGTGCTGATGAACGGTGCTTACTTCGATTAAATCCGATGAGTATTAAGAAGGTTATGATGGTTTAAAGTGGAACACTCAAAACGCTGAGAACTTTCCGGACAACCTAATAATACTACCATTGTAAATGTATTTACAGAAATAAATTTATAAGTTACAAATACTCAATCGCAAATAACTATAGAAAGATAGGTAGATTAGTTAAAGGTTTTCTCATTGGCAGCGGTGTTCACACCAAGTCTCCTCCTACCACTACAATTTTTTTTTACTTAAAATTTTGTAATCCACTTCGACAGTGTCTTATAACTGATATTCTCTCAGTCGGATTAACCTATAACAACAATCCATTTTCCTCTTACACGTATTTAGTACTCACATCTTCTTTCATTTTTCTATGCAATTCCTCCTCATCTTGATTGCATGAATTTTGCATGTGAACCTTTTTTCATATTTACTCTTGTTTTATCCTGTTTCTCAACTCCTTCCCCTATGTAGTCCACCTGGCCTCAACCTGTCGCTCAGAGGACCCGGGGTGGGCTAGACAACGATGATTCATATGCGATACCGGGCGAAACGGATCATCTGTGCTTTGGAGTGTATTCCTTTTTCCAATATGTTATGATATTGTAATCTTTTTACTCTCGTATGTGTTATGTCTTTCTCTTCTTTCTTTATCACTCTCCATTTCTAGGGACATGAGCTGAACCGATCAATACGCGGTTCGCACGCTTAGGCAGTCGATGCCTGGTTCCCGCCAAGTGTGACGTCATCCCCTTGAACGGACCAATGGCCAGTGGCGCTTCCGGTTCCGCCCCTTCGAGCTTCTATATAAGAGCCGGCTATTGCTAAGAGGATTCATGCTAAGCTAGCGTCAGCTAGAGAGTAGTGTCCTCGGACATACTTTCCAATAAACTTGTCTATCAGTCGATTGTCAGTTCGCCTTCAATACACGGAGGCTGCGCTCAACTCGGAGCAGCACCGTGACTTGGGTGCCGAACCAAACCGAATAGTTTCGATTTCGGTATCCGCCTGCTAGGCCGTTCAGACCGGCTAAGGCGCGAGTCCTGCCGCTGATAGGCAGTGTACTCCCTGACTGTAAACAGGGATCCACGTGGTCGGCGTCTGTTATTGTTGATCAGGGAGTGTGCACTGACTAAGCGGAAGGATTCGCGATTCTGTTTCAAGCGTGTCTATACGCACTCGAGTGAGTGAACATCAACTATTGCAGACAGTGTGATGGCAGAAGAAGCAGGACTAAGTCCAGCTGAACTGAAGCAGATGCTTCCGGGCGACACGACCACAGCAGAGCAGCTGTCGTCAATGAAAGAGTCGCTGGAGAGCCTGATGAGAAAGGTGGATAGCCTAACGGCTCGAGGCTCACAACAGGTGCGTATTTCAATAGAGGCTATCGCAAAGACGTTGAAAGTCTGCGTGAGATTCCGGCTGAATTAGTGCAAGCAGTTTCGACGAGGTTGACTTAACAGCTTGAGAGAGCAGCAAGCTCAAGAATAAACGAAGGGTGTTTTCTCATTGAGCGGGAACTGGAGAACCGCAAGGAGCTGGAAGCCGAAAGTCGAGCACTTAAAGCTGTAGTGTCTGAAACGCTCTCGGTGGTTTCGAGTGCTAAGAGGTAGGAAACTCATGTAGCACTTACGCCGAAAAAGCTAAATAAGCCTGAGGAAGAAAAGGCTGGTGTACCGTGAAGCATTGTAATGCTCATTTCCTGCAGGAGCCTCGTCAGGCTGCTGGAGCAGAATGCAGCAGAACTGCGCCGCCGATCGTATACGAACAACTGGATGTCGGCGACTTCGACAATGTCGAATATTCTGGATTTCGATCCAATAGCGGCGGCGCAAGGTAAGACTCTTCGGCTAGGCAGAAAGCCTGCAAGTCCCAGAGGAAAAACTGAGGGTACGTACTTGCAGCAAGAAAGGACGACCGAGTGCAGGCCGAGGACCAGGGACTCGAGCCAATCGCCGTCGACTCGGTGCCAAAGCCAAGGTGAGTCTTTCCACTTGTATAATGCTATGGGGTCCATATTTGCGGCTATGGCCCTACCGAAGTGGAGTTGTATAGTGACCCTCAGGGAAAAGGATTTGATGAGTTCATCATGAGGTTTACGATGAAATACCAGAGCCTTGGGTTACGGAATGACCTGCTCATCCAACTGTTGCTCTCTGAACTGCAATGTTACCCACAAGCGGTTGCGAACTCCCTAAGCTCGTGAGAGAGGGGAATTTGACAACCTTGTGGAGGCCCTGCAGCAAAGTTCAGTTTGGACAATTCGGCAATGCAGATGAAGGCATATTTGGATCTGATCACCTTGAAAGACATGGAGGCGTAACAGAATTCTGCCTGGATTTGGAAAGGTATTGAGAAGTCTATCCATCATCATCGAAAGATGCATCGAAAGAAGAACTGTCCCGTACAAAGGCAGGGGGGGGGGAACTGGTGAGCCAACTAACCGACTGGCAGGAATACCTCCAACTTTTTACGGCAATGGAGATAGCTCCAAAGGAGCAGGAGCAGGCGTATGACATGATGAAAGCCATGGCACAAAAATGTGAAAGGAGTAAGCAGGTAGCGGCTGCAGTGCGTAATGCCATGGAAGGTCATGCTCGAAAGAGCCAGGACGCTCGGCAAGTCCAAAACACTGGAAGGCGGAAGCAGTAAGCTCGATGTCCGCGATGCGACGGCTCAGCGGAGACCCGTCGGGAATTGTTTGAACTGTAATAATCAAGGACATCTGAGAAAGGACTGCACGATGCCGAGAAGAACGCTACTGCTACTGAAAAGGTTGCTAAATCGGCTCAGCAAGCAGAGCCCGCGAGATTTTTCACCGCGTCCTCCAGGAAATGGATATGTGGAGCAGTAGAGATCGATAACAAGTGCAAGTTGGTCGGTGAACAAACGACCGCGGAAGTTCATCCTCTAGGGATTTCACGCAGAGTGTTGTTGGACACTGGGTCGCAAATCAGCCTTATACCACTGCAAGTGCTCCAGGCAGCACTGGAGTGCGGCTTTGACTTGGACGAGATTCAGTTGGACCAGCAAAGTAAGTATTCGATGCTTCGGGCAACAGAATGTCCTTCAAAGGATCCATCAGACTAACGCTGCAAATGAGCTTGGGCAGTCGATGCCTGGTTCCCGCCAAGTGTGACGTCATCCCTTTAAACGGACCAGTGGCCAGTGGCGCTTCCGGTTCCGCTCCGAGCCCCTATATAAGAGCCGGCTATTGCTAAGAGGATTCAGCCCAAGCTAACGTCAGCTAAAGGGTAGTGTCCTCCGACACTAATGTTCCAACAAACTTGTTTCTCAGTCGATTGTCAGTCCGCCTCCGATACGCGGAGGCTGCGCTCAACCCGGAGCAGCACCCGTAACTGATAATTGTTTTCATTTGTTCTAACTGACATGGGTGAGCCACACTGAAGTGCCTTCAGTGATTCCAGCAGCCCTCCATCCCTCACGCAGTGGCTATTTGGCGCCATGCTGGCTCCCGGTGCTGGCGGGCCTCGACGCCAAAAATAGGGGTCAGATCGTGATTGGGGTTACCAGTATACGAAGTTTCAGCAAAAAAATTTTCTTGAGCTGTTCTGCTGTTAGTGTATCGACCATACGGATGGCAGCGACACCCCAACACTCACACCTCCGTAACCGTGGTAGCCGTCATAAACTTCCATTCCAAATTCACACGTTTTTAGAAACTCCATGTCAACTCCAGAGCACGAATAAACGAGCATCCTGAATCTTTTTCAACTTTCACCGTCTAGGCTTCCATGAAAGACCACTGTTTCTCCTGACGGGAAAAATTAACTTGTTCTCTTCGACTTTTTAGTTGTAAATGGTGGGCAGTATGTATGTGTTATTCCTTTCTTGAATTTTGTGGTTGGTAATCATGCGTTTGAGTGCTATGAAGGGAACGCTCCAGGGAGAGGCTGGAACGACTCCTAAAGGAGAATGATGGCCACTAGTGCAGATGTTTACTCATACCCAAAAGCTAAGGAAAAAATTCTGTCGAAACTCCGTATACAGGAGTAACTGATGGCCTCGGTGACAATTCTGATACTTATTTTTGGCACCGAACCCTATTTGGGGCCAGCATTACACACGGCTCACAATGATTTCAATGCCCCTTCCTGAACCATTAGTGTAGAATGAACCCACGAATGGCATATATGCGGATTATTCACACTATCGGACACGCCGAAACATAATAAGTTGGGAATCTGAAAAATGCAAAAATATGTCACCAAGTTGGTCCGATCCACAGACTACCATCGATTAAGGGTCCGTCGCGGTATCCACCACACCATCCGTCCACGGCGATCGATGAGATGCGGGAACCATTGTAGAAACATGCGGGATGACGAAGAAACTCCAACGTAGCTCACCACATACCAAGTAAAGTACTTGGATTTTGGCCTTATTTTGCGTTGTTTTCCATGCCTGATGTTTTCCAGATCATGAACTATGCACTCTCATGCAGTTAGAATGGAGCTGAACAAGGAGCTTCGAATCGCCCTTTTTTGTCGCATTTTTTGCACCCTTTTTTGACATCCCCAATAATGTTTGGCAAAAACAAACCCCATCTATGTGGTCCATGCATGAACCCCTACATCATGCAACAAACCGTTTTCAAAAAGCTCACTACGACCTGGACGACCTCCCTTGTCAGCATATTGTGATAATCTTATAGTTGCGAAGCCACTATTGCTTCCATCCTTTCTGTCAGTTCCCACGCTTACCACGTCATTTCCGGTACATCACACTATTATACTTAACATCGATTCAGAACAATGTGATCTACCCATCAAATTTAGGTCTCCTTTGTCACTGATTAAAGGTGAGTTGCGAAATGCAGCCATACCAACGCTTCAACTGCTTTCTAGACTCATAAGAGACACCCTTCACAGAAAATGAATATTTGTCTCCCTCACAAGGGAAGGATGGTAGGCCGAAGTGTCCATTTGAAATGAAATGTATGCCGGCCGAAAGGCCTTCGGCCGGGGATTACAAAACCGTTTTCCATATCTGCTGCGGACCTCCCAGAAAGAATTTACGGAGCTTTCTAAGGGAGAATATTCGCATTCAGTACGAATTGGCGGCGTAAGGCTGATATGATCGTGGCAGAATGGTCGAGTGGATACGTCGTAGTGCTCACGAATGCGGAGTTGAGGGTTTGGGTCCTTGATGCATGCGCTTTTTTGCATTTTTTTTCGAATGTGGTCCCTGTGCACTTCAAATTTATTTTGCACTTGTGCCTGATAATGTCGTGACGTAATGTTTCTAAACTGATGCAGCCATTGCGAACGATTCCATGGAGAACACTTCTGGCTGAAGAGATTGTCACACGAGCCGAAAACTACCACCAGTTGCGAAGCCACTTTGGGGATAGACATCATTTAACACTATGTGAGTGATGAATGAAGGTTTTGCTCATTGCCATCTCCAGCATGATTGAAACATCAACGTCACTTCATATGAAAGCATCTTTCCCACTATACTCATCTTCGCGCACAACTTCGTGCGGCTTCGGATTCGGTTTCCAGTCATGTCATTTGGAAAATGAAGTTTTCGGCTCGTATGGCAGTCTATTCAGCCAGGAGTGATCTCCATGAAATCGTTCGCAATGGCATCAGTTCCGAAACATTACATCACGGCACTATCAGGAACAGGAGTTATGCAAAATAACTTTGAAGTGCACAGGGACCGCTTTGGAAAAAACGCAAAAGCGTACGCATCAAGGATCCAAATCCTCGGCAACACATTCCTGAGCACCAAGACGGATCCACTCGGCCATGGTGACACGATCAGATCAGCCTTACGCCGTCAATTCATACTGAATGCTATTATTCTTCCCCTAAAAAGCTCCGTAACTTCTTTCTGGGAGGTCCGCAGCAGATACGGAAGACAGTTTCGTAATACCCGTCCGAAGACCTTTCAGTCGGTATACATTTCATTTCAAATGGCCACTTCGACCTACCATCCTTCCCTTGTCAGAACTCGAGCCTCTACCGCATGCCTGTGAGAGGCACCATTAGGCCATGAAGCAGCTGTGTGCTGTCAGTGGAAGCGCTTCGCGATTATTTATGCAACTAGACAGCGTCCGCTTTTGACTCCTTTCCCCTTCATTCGGACAAACCTTCATAACTCCGTTTAAGAAAACTCCTTGCAAATTAGGCATATTCGAGTCCAGCATCTGGAAACACTCCCGTATTCTATGTTTAGCACACATGCCTCTTCAAATTGGTGGCTCTAGCTAGTAAGCAGGACCGTAACCGCAGAATCAGCTCTGCTAGGCTCCTGCGAACCAGTGCACTATTAATTTTGACGTCTGTGACGTGCTTGTAGGATATAGGCGGTGCTTTCGTTTCTCACTTTCGCTATCAGTTTTCAGAGCAATGAGAAAGAGCTTTTCTGTTCTAACTGATTTTATGGATTCACGCTGTACTCTACAGTCCTCATCACGGACCGGTCGGGTGTGTCAGGCAGTATGAGTGTTCACACAGTTGAAGCCGTCCTCAGCCTTTTTGTTGAAACGCGTATGCGATAAAAACTGGTGGAAAACGAGTAATACGGAGGATATAATACAGTCATATCATTTGCTCGCTTTAAATACTGCTGGAGAGCGGGTTTGGCACCGCGCCAAACGCAGCCGCACTGAACCGCCCCACCGATCCGCAATGATGAGGACTGTACATCTCATTTCCAGCACGCAATCAAAATGTGAAGCTGTGAAAACAACGACCTTTCGGATTTCTGATTCAATGAAGTTCAAGATAACCATACTTTCAGATATGAAAATAGCGAAGCGCTGTCGTTGGAAGCTCTGTGGTACTGGCAGACTCCAATACACATGACATAAGACTGTTTGAAGAGCGATCTACTGGTACGGTGGCACTTATTCTTCAATCTCTGCCATATTGTCATTACTTTTTCATTTCAAGATGAGCGGGTTGTCAGTTGATCTTCATGATACGATGCCATAGAACTACGATAAAGAAATTGTGCGAAAAAATTGCAGCAGTCAGCAGTGGAAACAACGCAACTGCAGTTTTTATGAGTTGTTTGTTTAAGGATCACCTTTGATTCGATTCACAGTTTAGTGCAACATTTTTATCGTACAATTGATGAATATAATCGCAGAAACATTTCCCTAGAAACAAAACGTGAACGGCAGTTGGTGTTATCATGTTGAGTCCTGTTAGCGTTGTTGTTTTTTCTTATTTTTTTCAACTCGACATACAGTGAACATTAATCAACAAAGCATTCGAATTCGTTAACCGCCACAAAGGGCCACCTCAGCTGGTCAGTCACCATATTGTTCCGAAACTAGAGAAGATG